AAATTTATGATATTTTCAATATAGTTATCATAATTATAGAATACGCATGTATAAAGAGATCACGAGGGTAATATATTAAAGCATTTCAATAGCAATTTTCTTGAAAAGTAGTTTTATTCGGAATACAAAAGGACCTAAGAAAGCACATAGTAATATATAATAAGTAGATGCGGTATGATTTCCAATGAGACAAATATCCACCTGAGACCAAATGGCGTAAATGTTAGGTCACCATACGGCCTTCAACAATTAATAAAACCCATACCTACTAGCAAGAGCGCATTACATTTGCGCGCATTCATTTTACAGGTAACGTAGGTAAAAGTAAAGGTAATTTGTCATAAATATGAGTATAATTTAAACTACCTTGACCAAAAACTTTAACCAAAAACTTTAACCTGAAGCGGGACAGACAGACGAACGAAAGGACACACAGACCGAAAAAAAATAATGCCCATAAATGGGGCATAATAACCAAAAACAGTAAAATTTATTAAAAATAAACTATTTCTAACAGTAACCCAACAATGGGTTATCAAACTCGTCTGCTCACTCTTGCTCTAACTGCTATAGTTTTTGAGATATAAGCCAAAAACTGCTTTTTTCCCCTTTGTTCTATTTTTAGCCATGGTGGCCATGTTTGTTGATTGATCAAAACTTCGGATACAATTTATAAACTAGATACCCTAAGGAACATTCAATTAAAGTTTTTAAGTATTTGGAAAAGTAGTTTCAGAGAAGAAGATTTTTGAAAAAGTAATAGACATTTTTGCCATTTACACTTTCTCTAGATATCTACTATAATATTAGAGATAAAAAACCAAAAACAGTAAAATTTCATAAAAATAAACTATTTCGGGCAGTTACCCTAAATGGGTGGTCCAATTGGTCTGAAAATTTCATAGCAGATAGATCTTGACTTATTCATCACTTTAACTCCCTTTCACTTTTACTCTAACTGCTATAGTTCTTGAGATATACGCCAAAAACTGCATTTGACCCTTATGTTCTATTTTTAGCCATGGCGGCTATGTTTGTTAATGGATCAAAACTTCGAATACAATTTATAAACCAGTTACCCTAAGAAACATTCTGTTAAAGTTTAGAAGTGTTAGGCCCAGTAGTTTCAGAGGAGAAGATTTTTAAATGTTAGCAAACATGCTGAACAAATTGTGTAAAATTGTCTTTAAAGGGCAATAACTCCTTAAGGGGTCAATTGACAATATTGGTCATATTAAACTTTTTTGTAGATCTTACTTTGCTGAACATTTTTGCTGTTTACAGTTTATCTTTATCATCAATAATATTCAACAATTACCAATTTAGTGGCAGCAACCCAACAATGGGAAACTATGTCAGATTTGCTCTAAATGCTTTAGTTTTTGAGATATAAGCCAAAAACTTCATTTGACCCCTTTGTTCTAGTTTTAGCCATGGCGACCATGTTTGTTGATGGATCGAAACTTCGGATACATTTATAAACCAGTTACCCTAAGAAACATTCTGTTAAAGTTTAGAAGTGTTAGGCCCAGTAGTTTCAAAGGAGAAGATTTTTAAATGTTAGCAAACATGCTGAACAAATTGTGTTAAATTGTCTTTAAAGGGCAATAACTCCTTAAGGGGTCAATTGACAATTTTGGTCATATTAAACTTTTTTGTAGATCTAACTTCGCTGAACTTTTTGCTGTTTACAGTTTATCTTTATCATCAATAATATTGGGAAACTATGTCAGATTTGCTCTAAATGCTTTAGTTTTTGAGATATAAGCCAAAAACTGCATTTGACCCCTTTGTTCTATTTTTAGCCATGGCCGCCATGTTTGTTGATGGATCAAACTTCGGATACAATTTTAAACTATATACCCTAAGGAACATTTAGTTAAAGTTTGAAGGTATTTGACCCAGTAGTTTCAGAGGAGAAGATTCATAAAATAGTTTACAACGACGAAGGACGCCAAGTGATGGGGGCCTTTTGGGCCCCGGTGAGCTAAAAATAAGTTTTAACTGTTGTTCCATGTTAACACTTTGTTCCGTGGAGGGTTGAAGACTATATGGTGCCCTCTCAATGTTGTTTGGTTAGTTTTGTAGTTGGGTTACTGTATCATGGGCGTATAACCACCCCACCCCCCCCCCCTTCCCCCGAAATCTCATTTTATTCATCAAAGACATAGACATAATCTGTTTCAAATAAAAACAGATGTATAATTTGATAGAAAAAATGTAGAACCAGGATTATTTTTTACTACCTGCAAAGTTTTGCAACTCTAAGTAGAGGTCTTTAATCATTTGACTAGTGACGCCTCTTGCTGTAATTATCTCAGGCAGGGTCCACCATGGATATATGGAAAAAAGAGTCTAGGTGAAACAGAAGCTTTCTGTTTTTGTAATTTATTATATTGAATGCCAGTTAAAAAGAGCAGTGGCTATATAAATTACGTACGTCCCAAAATTGGTTTCCATTCTCTATTTTGAGTTTGCCTCAACCAAATGTTATGAAACTTACACACAATGCTTATTACCACAAAACACAGATCAAGTTTGAATTTTGGTGGCGTCATTTTAACTGTTCTAGAGTTATGCCCCTTTATAAATGGAAAAATTGCAAAATTTTTAGTTTCCGTTCTCTTATACAATGCAATGTTTAATTTTGACTTCCACTGATAAAACACAGATCAAGTTGAATTTGGGTAGTGTCACTTTAACCATTATTGAGTTATGCCCCTTTATAAATCGAAAGATTGCAAAATTTTTAGTTTCCATTCTGTAACTTAAGTTTGCCCCAACCAAACATTATGAAACCTATACACAATATTCATTACCACAAAACTAAGATCAAGTACAAATTTTTTGTTTCCGTTTTCTAACTTTAGTTTGCCTCAACCAAATGTTATGAAACTTATACACAATGCTTATTACTACATTATACAGATTAAGTACGAAATTTGGTGACGACACTTTTACCATTCTTGAGTTATGTCCCTTTATAAACATAAAAATTGCTGAATTTTTAAGTTTGTCTCAAACAAATGTTATAAAACTTATACACAACCGTTCTAGAGTTATGCATGTTTACAAATAGAAAAATTGCTGAATTTTTAGTTTCTGTTCTCTTCTTAAGTTAGCCTCAACCAAATGTTATGACACTATCCACATTTATTTATAAATGTACGGTTTGCCGATTACACCCACAAAATTTGGTAAAATAGGCCTTTTTTTCTTCTTAGTCAATTGTAAAATTGTGTAACTTCGTTTTTTTAAAAGCACCTCTGAACAAACTATCAATATTAAGGTGAAACAAATATGTATTAATTTGGATCTTAACCACGATATTTGATTATCCTGGGTTAATTTCTTAAAAACAACAATTTCAAATTAGATCGTTTGACTTGCAATATAGATTCAAATGAAAAGAACTGAGGCAATCGTTCTGGGAAGTAACTTAACCAAACCACGATCAACTTAACCAAACTATGACAATATCACTGTACAAAACTCTCCTCGATATGACGACTTTACTACCCATGTATGTCATGAAATTCAATCAAATGTGACTTACTATAATATGAGTCACTGGTATAAAAAGGTATAACTTTGACATGAAAACTTCTATTTTAAATAAATTTTATAAATAATTAGTTCAAAACATTATTCTGCAGGTCAATAATTTATAGCTTTGTTTTCTAACAGCAAGTTAATGCGCAATTGTAATTTGCATATTTTTTTCTAATGCAATTACTTATCTGCTAATATTAAAGGAAAATAATTTGTAAGTTTGTAACCCGGATTTGTTTTCTCTCAATTGATTTATGACTTTTGAACAGCGGTTGTCTTTATTTACATTACTGCAAATTCAGCAAAATTTTGTTCTGTCAACTATCAACTTTCTTCATTTTATAAGTAATTTGTTTGTAACATTATTTCCATGATATTTCCATGATTATTAAACTATCATCCTCTGTTCTAAAAAGAACACTGAAATTTATTTTTAAGATGATTAAAATTTAGAAAGAAAACCTGTTGAAAACATTTTATGGGACACTTCAAAGTTCTATAAATCATACAGATGTCTCTGTAAATTAAGAGGGTATTACCAGTCCAGTAGTCAGCAATTCTGTGTGGACATGAATTTTCATTGATAAGGTCAAAATTATAGATTAACTGTTTTGCAAAACTTTGAATTGTTCAAAATACTAATGATTTTCTAACACCGAGGATTAGATTACTTATAAGCAGTATTTGGCAAAACCTTTTGGAATTTTGTTTCCTCAATGCTCTTCAACTTCGTACTAATTCATTTTTGTAATTTGGCATTTCAAATTTTTTTGATCGAGTCGTATTGATGAAATTTTTGTATGCAAAATCGTAAGCCTGGTATCTGATTAAATTTTTAATATACAATGACTGAATAAAATTATTTCCGTTTAATGCAAGCAGATCAGTAATTCTTATAGAAAATATTATCCAAATCACAATTACACAATAACTTCCTCTTAGAAAACAAAGCTATAAATTATTGCCCTACAAAGCAATGTTTTGAACTAAATATTTATAAAATTTATTTACGATAGAAGCTTTCATGTCAAAGTTATACCTTTTTAAGCCAGTGACTCATATTATAGTATGTCATTATTTTGTTTGAATTTCTTGACATAGACAACAACTAACTGGAGTTGGATGGGATGTAAATACTTTTTATTTCACTGCACTCACTTCAAACTAACAACCTTTCACTGAAGCAATTAGTTAAAATATTTTACCAGTTGATCAGTTTGTTGGAGAAGAATTCAAACTGCAATTTGGTAAATTGTTTGAGCCATTGCTATTGTGATACCCAAAAGCCTACTGAATAAGCACAGTAACATGTAATACGTCCACAAGACTTTATAAAGTATTATCAACTATGCAACTTATTGTCTTCTTCTGAGCAAAAATCTGATTTCCATGTATTTCTAACAAGTATACTAAACTTTTCCTGATGTTTATAATTTACTATTCTACAGGAGTTATTGAGTTACAACAGAAATGAAGCAATATGTCAGTACTGCAAGAAAAAGTTGAATGAACAAGGTCAGCATGTTTACCGTAAATATTCACAACAAACATTATCATACTTGAAAATTTGATTTTGTCCAAATCCTCAACGTATTGATAGATACGATAAACTGGGAATTTTGGCTGTACTCACATTTTGGTTTGTTGGGTGATTTAGATGAAAATGTCAAACTAAAACACAACAAATTAATAAAATATTTACCAAATAGATACATGTAAGTGTTCAGTAATCATGATTAAAACATTGTGTAATGATATACGATTTAATTTTACTGGAAAAGGCAATTACACTAAATATATAATCCAATGGGGTATACACCAAATGATATTCAATTTTAATCCAGGTTACAAGATCAGTTGATTATTGTAACAAATTATAAACTAATAAAATGTAAACTTCAGTTAATCTACCCTCACTTCTAAGGTCATTATATTGCAATAACTGTATCAACTTAAATTTTTTAGATTATTTATTTCTACTTATTATTCTTATTAATTTTGTTTTATCATATTTTGTGTGAGCTGCTCTGAGACTACCATTTGTCTCAATGCCATCAACACATTTTTATTTTGCAATTATACTAGTCAGCCACCACACTGAATTGAACAACAAATTCCAATCAGCAAGAATTGATATCTATATCAACTCAATGCCAAAATTTGATACATCAAAATTAAACCACAAATGTTGATGTAAAAAAACACAAAAATATTCTGATTTACAGTACATCACTGACACGAAGGAATTAAAAATAATCTACCGATTTCAACTTAAATGTCATTACTGTGTGTAGTGGATACAACAAATCTCCTGATGTGATAATTTTTTGTAAAAGTTTATTCCTTCATTTCATAGGCATGGATGAAAGAAAAAGAATTCCATACAAACTTGGACAAAATATCTTTTATCTACGTCATCAAATTGATCTGAGTTTAGAACTGGATGGAAGCATGAGAGGAACTATCCCAGATGTAGTAATGATGGATGATGGTAGACTGGTGATATGTGACATCTGTGAGTGCAGACTACTGATCTGTAACACAGATGGATCACAGGAAGACATTATACCAGTGGAGGATAGACCATTTTATGTTGCAGCTGTCAACAACTCAACAGTGGCTGTGGCAGTTTATAAAACCATCACATGTCAATGTATACAGATGTATGATATAAACCAAAAAGAAAAACTTAAATCCATATCAGTACCTGGCATGATGTTTTATTGTGGCATTTCAATGATAAACAACAAGTTAGTAGTAGGTGGTTTCAGTGGACTACTAATTGTTGATCATCAGAAAGAAAAGACAATAGAGACAATAGAAACAGACTGCATACCAGACATGATACACACTTCTGGTCACAGAATATTCTACAGAATATGCGGGCTAGCTGAATACAACAACATATACTGGTACAGCTTTACTGATGGCAAGATACAAACATTAACATTACCATCAACACCATGTTCAATAACTACACTACAAGATGGTAGTCTGTATGTTCTCTGTACAGATGACTCTGTACAACATGTGTCATCTAATGGAGAACAATTCAAAACTTTAAATAGAAATCAATCCCAATTTTTCATTGAATGTTCATCAATACAATACAATTCAAAACAAAACAAACTGCTCACATGCAATGGCCATACCAGAAATGTCAAAATATTTCAAGAGAAATGAAGCATATAACTTATAGTGATACCTTAGAAATTCAATTTGAATCTTATAATGGTAAAATAAACTCATTGTTTTGATTATAATAAAAGTATTTCACCTTATCATTAAAGCTAAAGATAAGTTGACAACCTTAATAGTTAGCTGTAGTTAACCTTGATCAGAATATTATTTTACAATACAATGCTTTGTATTCACAAAATTATGTTATTTTCATCACAAGGTATTTTTAAAGAAACAAGGGCTTAAAACAATTTAAAAAAAATACTGTCATAAAAATAAATTAATTATATTCAGTGTGTTATTGATATTGATATAAATAGAGAAAAATATGTATGAAAAAAAAACTTCTTCAAATGTTCTTTGATTTCATTGTAAAATATCAGCATTTCTTTTTTGCAATCTACCCTGTGCGCCTTTTATTTACTCTAAAATTTTCAAGTCAATTATGAATTAGGAATACTCAAAACTATTTTTGTCAATATGATTGTCAGTAAACAAATTTTTACAGCTTGTGAGTCAATACATTCCGAATTTATTCATTGAATATTTATATGCCAAATTAAATTTTCTCATTTAGGGATCCTAAAGATCAGCTGAACCGGTAGTCTCAACAAATATTACTAACTGATTTTGTTTCAGCCAAATATGTGAATAGTCTAAACAAATATTTCTTACTGATTTTGTTTCAGCAATATATCTGAATAATTAGGACATTCCCATCAATATATCACACTGCTGTCATTATTTTGAAGGCTAAAACAGAAATTTAGTCCTAATATTCTTTGTTTCCAACTTAATGTGAAAAATTTCATCAATATCCATTAGCAAGTAGAATTATTATTAATTAGAATTTTTAAATAATGACATTTATGTTTTATCAAGAAATCAAAATCAGATTTTCTTGGTCCGTCTGATTTTTGTTAGGGAAAGGGATATAATTTGGATACACATGGGAAAAAAATACTGATTAAACATTCCAAAGATATATTGGAAAAAAGCCTAAATTTAAAGAAATAGCTTGGTTATTGCTGTTTTTTTATCTTGTCAGTTTTGTTCAGATATCAAGGAAAAGTAACAATGTCACCCTTTTAGTACAAGTATTTTCTTCCTACTGATCTTACCATCATATTTTTTTTTATATGTTCACTCTGCTCCAACTTTGTTTTATTTTCTTTCAGTTCATCTATTTTTATTTGGACTTTCTTCTCCTTTTCTTCAAAATCCATCTAAAATTTAAAGGAAATAATCTAAATACACTCAATAAAAACTGTAACAGTTTTCTCAGGCATAACATTAAATTTAAATTGTACTGTACTGCAAACAAGAGAATTAATTAAAGTGGTAAAAAGATACATTATTGTAAAACTCGAACATTATAGTGCTGAAATAGAACAAGCACTTCATTTTAAGTCTCACCACTTCTTTCTATCAGCTTCAAAAGGAGAAGTCAATTCTTCCTATAATTCTGAATTATGTACAGTCGACTCCACTTAATTGCATACCGCTTAATAGCATAATTCGGTTAATTGCATAGTTTTCTCCTGCACAAAACCATTTCCCATTCATCTAATGTTAAATTGTCCGGTTATATGCATAGCTCTACAAGTGGCCTTTCGGTTTATTGCATAGAAAATAATCGCCATCTGCTTCTGCTTCTGCCTGATAATGGCCACAATCAACGAGCTGATTATTATGCCATGACTTAGGTGCGCATACAGACCCCCCTCCCCCCACCCCCAATTTGATAATTTAGTTCAGCTTTGTCAGAGAGGCTTTAAAGGCCTCGACTGACGATGCTGATGCTACCCCAGGAGGGAGAGCGTTCCAATCCCTGATCGCTCTCGGGAAAAATGAGTATTTCCTGTAATCACTTCTGGATGCTGGAATTTGGAAACTTTTGTCGTGCATGTTCCTCGACAGTCGTGTTGGTTGCATAAGACGACCTTCCTTAGTTACAGCCACTTTGTTGTTTTCTATTTTATAGAGCATAGTTAGATCTAGATATGCTTAGTTAAAACTGATGAGATTTTTGACTGGAAACAGCAATTTGGTGAGTATATTTTTCTTGAATGCATCATTATTTTCGTTATTATTTCATATTTACTTTTGTATTATTTAAATAAAGTTTTAAAACAGTTTCTTTCGTGTTTATATGATGGAATTTGATTTAAAAATAGGCCATAAAAATAAACCTCGATGTCTACACAGGTAAAGTTTCCCATGTTCTATTTTAAGCCTCGAGGTCATAAAAATGTCAAACAGGTAATTGTTGTAAAAACACTGACCATTCTATTTCAAAAGGTGTTAATAATTGATTGGATTTCAAACATTGTCCATAGATTACATTTGGGGTGAATTTTAAAAACAATAACGCCTGCTAATGATCGGTCATTATCCAATGTGAACTCTCGTAATTGGGCTTGGCCTTGGGGTGATCTGCATTTATGTTAAATATTACAGGCCATTTATATATGGTTAAAGAATTTCATACATCAATCATTTATTTTTAATATTTTATGAAAAGAGTATTTACTTCTAATTATTATATTTTCTCACTTTCAACACTTGTGTCCAGCAAATAACCCGCACAGGGCCCCATTACTGCTTTGCATATACGAAACTAACGAGGTAAAATAAACAGTGTTACTTCACTGTGCAAGCTGTAAATACTGCATATCAAAAGCAGTTCATTACACATCTATTGTTAAAATGATTATAAACTGTGTAGTACTGTTAAACAGTTTATTTTAATCAAAGCGTAACAATGTACATTGTACATACGGGTCATAGAAACAAAATCTATTTTTAGAATAATTTGTTTTATTTTCGTATCCCAGGTAAAGGAAACGTCGGTACGCAAATAAACTAAAACAAAATGTGTTTATAATCTTTATTGAAAGAATACAAAATAAAATAACATGTATGAGACTAGACATATAACTTTTATTAGAATAAATCAACATTCAATATGTTGTAAGTGGATTAGAGACGTTCCATCTTTCTTCAGGGATTTCCTTTACTGATCTGTTCTATCGATGTTATTTGACTCCGTAATTTGGCATTTTGGATATAAGCATACTCCGCTTTATTGCATAATTTTGTTTGACAAATAGGCTATGCAAATAACCGGAATCGACTGTACTACCAAAATTGTTCTTGCAAATAGTCAATTCTGTTCTAAATTTATCAAAAACTGCTTTAAAAATGATCAAGTATTAAAACAAACATTGGTCTGATTGAAATCAGATTCATCTGATTTAAAGTCAGATAAAGCAAGCTTTTTCACTTATCAACATTGTATTGATAACCTTGCAACTGTTTCAATAACTTTAGTTAGAATTACAAGAGAAATCACTAGTTTCAAGAAAATTGGTTAACACATGTTTGTTATTCATTGTTAAGCAGTAATAATAACTTTTCTAACATCTATGTTAATACATGTAGCACAATAATATTAAAAAAATATTGATATTATTATCCTGTTTCTTAAAGGGGCATTAGCTACGAGATATATAAAAAATTTAAAATATGATTTTTTTTTGTTCAATCATTAATGAAAGTGAAATAGTGAATTGTAATTCGCTTTTAACAGCCTGTATGGTTCAATTTAGTCAAAATAAGCTAAGAAACATCAATAATGAATTATTCACTTGCAAGTGAATAATTCGACCTCAATGAATCTGTATTAATGTGACCTTCAATTAAACCACTAGGCTAGAGATGGATTACGCATAAATTATGCGTGTTCAGTTTTTAAAAGGAAAAGAATGTCAACATTGAAAATGAAACAAAGGTAAATCATTTGATTGACTGTTTTGATCCACAAAAATTCGTTCATTCTTATACAGGTAAAAACGATGATTAACATATTTTAGACTTTTTATAATTTAGATATACTTTTAAATATATTATAAATCAATCATGATAATTTGAGTCTAATTGGGGAACATGAGTTTGACAGCCAATGCCCCTTTAACTGTGTTAAATAGCAGCAATAAAAATAAGAAATATGTTGATAATAAACTTTTGTGTGCAAGTTACTTTTTACCAAGGGTGTAGATTCAGAAATAGAAATTAAAATTCGAAAAAATCCTAAATTGCGCTTTTTAATTGAAATTGAAAAATGTGAAATAGAAGTACCTTACCTAGTAGAAATTATGTACTCTTCAATAGATCTTTTCGTTTGTTTTTTTAATACTAATATTCTAATATAATTAGAATTTAAATTTAAATTTTTTAATTTTTTAATTTGACAACCCTGCATACCATCTGGTATCCACTTAAGGGAACTCTACCAGCACAAAACATAGGAGGCGTTGGTTCAGCAGCTCTTTATTTATTCTAATATAAGTATATGAAATATTAACTGAATTTATATTGCTAAATCATAACATAACAGTTGTAAATACCGTAGAAAGGCTTGTATAGTCCGCGGTTTTATTCTCCAAAATTGGACCTTCCAGACGGGGTGCGGACTATAGAGTACATTAAGCAAGAAATAAGAGAAAAATTTCAATTTCGCAGTCGAGGTGGTTTGTTTACGTTCCGCCATCTTTGTTATTTCTATTGTAGAGGGCGCTCTTATCATTTTTCAAACTAGTAATTTTAACTCATCCATATTAATAAGTTATTTCTATTCAATATCAAATTAATACTGATAAATATAAAAACTAAACCTTTCATTACAAATTTCTCATTTCTTTTCAATGCATAAACTGAATGCATTGGTTGAAATAAACTGGTATCTGCTTGATTGAAACGATACAAACATAGTGAAAAAGACAACCGTAAACCAGCTTAGAATTTGTAAACTACAAAACGTAATCGGTTATTGTTCGTTCCGTTTTGGTGTTTCATACTGACTAATATGGTTTGTATTAGCTTAAGACCCTTCAAACATTAATGTGATAGATATATTAAAGACTGTTTTACAAAAGGATGGAACTGTTTTACTTTCAAAGTCGTATTATAGTGATATCTGTTATGTATGGATTTCGACTCTCACCGGTTAATTTCTTCTTTTACACATGCTTTTTAAACTTCCTGTTTAAACATACACAAGTTTCTAAATTGTTTTTTAAGTGAATTAAACTTATTTTAACAATCATGAAGCGTTCTAGAATCATTTACAAGCAGTTTCAGATTCTGTTTGATGATGGAAAACAGGTTTTTCCAAGAAAATACCGCAAACGACCGCACAGGATTTGAAATTACCGGAGTTTCATTAGACCTTTTCTAACAGTTACAAAAAGTTTTTTTACCTAAAATTTCGTGGGGAGAAGGGGGTGCGGATTATGTACCACTGCGAACTATACAAGCCTTTCTACGGTACTATAAATATTTATTTACACAGATCTGTCCAAAACTGAAGTAGATATTTCTAATATCAGGAAGGAAAACAAGCCTCATATATACAGAATTTGAATTCTGGATCAAATATCTTACAATTAATGTAACAAATATACATGAATTACTTAATACAAACCTTTAGATTTTTTCCTTCAGTAACCATGGTTTCTAGTTTGTTTCTTACACTTTCAATAAAACTTCTGTATTTTTCATCTGTTATTTCACATCCACTAAAACCTAACAAGAAAGTACAACTTATATTGAACTGCTAACATTTTTTTTTGGTTTATTTTGTTCCATTGGTGTCATTCAAAATGTTATTCAAGTCTTCTTTGCACATAAACTAATGATATCCAATATATACAATAAATTAAAAAAAAAATTTCAATAACTTTACCTAAGTTTGTAAAATTATAAACAAGATCCAAATCTGAAAAAAATTAACACAAAAATGTTCATTTAATGAACATCTACATATCATCACCATGTTTATCACTATTGCTTATGATTATCAGAAGTTAGGACCAATTATACATAAAGTTGCTATCTTTTTTCTATTTAAAATTTATTGTGAAAGTGTCATTTTAATCAGATATAGATTTTGTAAAATCTTTAGTTTGCCACAAAGTGTAAGAGTGCCACTTTTAATAAACAAACAGTGACCTCAAGATAGCCTTCAAGTCTTGTACCTAGTATTGTGTATTAAATATAAAGGGACAAAGAAAGCAT